GAAGCCAGTATCCATTGTTCCTGTGAGGCTGAGCTGGGTTTGTTCCATCCATGCCCTGACAAAGTGTGAACTGCCTCTCTGTTCTTGGAGAATTTTTGCACAGGCTTGCTTTACGCCATGAGGATACATTTTCAGTCTCATAACTATATACATGAAATTATAACCTATAACCTTACTATAACCTTACTGTAACAAGAAAAGGAGTACTTGTGGCACCTTAGAGACTAACACATTTATTTGAGCATAAGCTTTCGTGAGCTACAGCTCACTTCATTGGATGCAGTTACTATAACATCACTATAACAACCATGCTCAGTGCATTATGAGCCTTCCAAAGACACCCAACATGGCAAACTTTACACTGGATACCACATATTTTATAAAGATGAACGTGGGGGTGTAGGGTGTTCCCCTGAGATACAGAGTGTCACACATGCATCCTCAATGCCATCTCACTGTTTTCAACCCTCTGCCTCATTCTCTGTCCAACTTGTGCACTGAATGAGTCAGAGTATTGCAGCACAAAAAACAGTAAATGATCATATAATTAGGCTGTATCATAAAGCATATGCATAAGGGGATGAATTAGCTTTTACAGGCTACATTAATTCTTTTAACTTTTGAGTACTTGGCTTTGCAAACATAGTTTTAAAATGTAATTTCCTAGGTATTTTGTTAAAACAAGGAAACTGAAAAACACAGAAATTCTATCAAATGGAAACATCATGACCTTCATGGATCATCAGCAGGATCTGAACCTCCTAAGCTCCAGAGCACAGCACAAACCTCTACTGCTTGAACTAAAGGAGTAACTAGTTACAGTAGCAGGCTGCTATTCTCTGCATGGACAAGCCACTAGCAAGAGAGAATTCAGTGACTTGCACAATTATTTGCTAAACAGCAGAGGACTGTTGGGATTCAGTCAGAATTCCTAGCTTCTATTTCAGACTGGAAATAAGGCTTTAGCCCTGAAGGTAATTAATCACTGGAACAATTTACCAAGGATTTACCATCACTGGCAATTTTTAAATTAAGATTGGATATTTTTCTAAGAGATCTGCTCCAGTTCCAACACAAATTATTTCAGGGAAGTTCTGTGGCCTGTGTTATGCAAGAGATCAGACTAGATAATCATTGTGGTCTCTTCTGGCCTGGGAATCCACGAATCTATGAAACTTCTGGCTCTGAAGAGGAGTATGGTCTAGGGTTATAAATAGCACAGCCAAGCATATAGGTTTGGCACAGTGAGCCTTTGGATGAGACTTGGATCTGTGATATTACAGACAGGAGTCCATTCCCAGCTCTCCCAGAAGTGACTCTGCACTATTTAAAAAGGGAAGAAGGAGGATCCTGGGAACTACAGGCCAGTCAGCCTCACCTCAGTCCCTGGAAAAATCATGGAGCAGGTCCTCAAGGAATCAATTCTGAAGCACTTAGAGGAGAGGAAAGTGATCAGGAACAGTCAGCATGCATTCACCAAGGGCAAGTCATGCCTGACTAATCTAATTGCCTTCTATGATGAGATAACTGGTTCTGTGGATGAAGGGAAAGCAGTGGATGTGTTGTTCCTTGACTTTAGCAAAGCTTTTGACATGGTCTCCCACAGTATTCTCGCTAGCAAGTTAAAGAAGTATGGGCTGGATGAATGGACTATAAGGTGGATAAAAAGCTGGCTAGATTGTCGAGCTCAACGGGTAGTGATCAATGGCTCCATGTCTAGATGGCAGCCGGTACCAAGTGGAGTGCCCCAAGGGTCAGTCCTGGGGCCGGTTTTGTTCAATATCTTCATTAATGATCTGGAGGATGGTGTGGATTGCACCCTCAGCAAGTTTGCAGATGACACTAAACTGGGAGGAGAGGTAAATACGCTGGAGGGTAGGGATAGGATACAGAGGGACCTAGACAAATTGGAGCATTGGGCCAAAAGAAATCTGATGAGGTTCAACAAGGACAAGTGCAGAGTCCTGCACTTAGGATGGAAGAATCCAATGCACCACTACAGACTAGGGACCGAATGGCTTTAGGCAGGAGTTCTGCAGAAAAGGACCTAGGGGTTACAGTGGACGAGAAGCTGGATCTGAGTCAACAGTGTGCCCTTGTTGCCAAGAAGGCCAATGGCATTTTGGGACGTATAAGTAGGGACATTGCCAGCAGATCGAGGGACATGATCATTCCCCTCTATTCGACATTGGTGAGGCCTCATCTGGAGTACTGTGTCCAATTTTGGGCCCCACACTACAAAAAGTACGTGGAAAAATTGGAAAACGTCCAGCGGCGGGCAACAAAAATGATTAGGGGACTGGAACACATGACTTATGAGGAGAGGCTGAGGGAACTGGGATTGTTTAGTCTGCGGAAGAGAAGAATGAGGGGGGATTTGATAGCTGCTTTCAACTACCTGAAAGGGGGTTCCAAAGAGGATGGCTCTAGACTGTTCTCAGTGGTAGCAGATGACAGAACAAGGAGTAGTGGTCTCAAGTTGCAGTGGGGGAGATTTAGGTTGGATATTAGGAAAAACTTTTTCACTAGGAGGGTTGTGAAACACTGGAATGCGTTACTTAGAGAGGTGGTGGAATCTCCTTCCTTAGAAGTTTTTAAGGTCAGGCTTGACAAAGCCCTGGCTGGGATGATTTAATTGGGGATCGGTCCTGCTTTGAGCAGGGGGTTGGAGTAGATGACCTTCTGAGGTCCCTTCCAACCCTGATATTCTATGATTCTATTTCTGTGCAAAATCTGTAAACTGGTGAGAATGATGCTCACCCTGCCTCCTACGGTAAAGTAGATTGATAATAAGGACTGTTCAGTGCACAGAATTCACACTACCCATTAGTGGAAGGTTTCCCCCTGGCTCCTACACCAAGCGTGAACGAGGGGCACATTGCTGCTGCTGCACATTCATCCTCCCTGGAGCTCTAGCTCTGGGCCTGGCCTACCATGTAGGAAGCTGAGTGGGCCCTGGCAGCACCCTTGGTGCAGATCAAGGTCAGCAGAGCTGGAATTATGTTTAGTGCAGATGGACTCTTGAGAGATTTTTGCAGCAGGCCTCTAAAAAGCTTTATTGGGCCTGTGCATATGACAATTTTCAGAAGCCTATAACTCTGCCAATGCTGGATGGATTTTCATGAAATCAGCCAAAAGCACCTCCCTGGCCCTTGGACCATTCTCCTCACCAAATTTCAAATTCCTGCTCCAAAGTATACAGATGCTAAAACTTTTCAGTTAAATGGCAGGAAATATTTTCTTAAAACAGGGGAAAAGGTTGTTTTGCATAATCTTGTTCTTTCAAATGGCTGAACCAATTTTGATTTTTTTTTTTAAATTCAGCTTGAAGCAGAGTTCAAGCATGGAAAAATTCAGCTTGAATACTTAAAATCTGGCAAAGTAAAAATCATCTGAAAACAGTGACTTATGCTGGAAAGAGTCAGGCAATCTTAACTATAGACATTGCTGCCAGCTCAGCCTATAACACCAAGCATAGAGAAATAAAAGGAATCATTGCAGATACAGAGATAACCACATGTATTAGGTTAAGTAAAAAAAGATTTACAGTCTCAACACTCTCTTTTGGGTCTCTTTCTTGAAACTTGATTTATATTGATTTTACTATTCACAAAAGACAAGACTCAAGCAAGGCATAGAGTAGAGGAGGTATCTACAGCTTTCCTTCACAGCTCTTGTAACACCACTCAATCCTTATCTGCCAAATCCACTGCTATGCCAGTCCTAGCATTCCTTGAACAGAGGCTTACAACCATGCCAAACTCTGTGGCAGTTCTGTGATGTGGACGAATATCTGCCAAGAACTTAAGGTGAGACCATTTTTTGAGACGATCAAGCGGAGTGCCCCAGGGGTCGGTCCTGGGGCCGGTTTTGTTCAACATCTTCATTAATGATCTGGAGGATGGGATGGACTGCACCCTCAGCAAGTTCGCGGATGACAATAAGATGGGGGGAGAGGTAGATATGCTGGAGGATAGGGATAGGGTCCAGAGTGACCTAGACAAATTGGAGGATTGGGCCAAAAGAAATCTGATGAGGTTCAACAAGGACAAGTGCAGAGTCCTCCACTTAGGAAGAAAGAATCCCATGCACCGCTACAGGCTGGGGACTGACTGGCTAAGCAGCAGTTCTGCAGAAAAGGACCTGGGGATTACAGTGGACGAGAAGCTGGATATGAGTCAACAGCGTGCCCTTGTTGCCAAGAAGACTAACGGCATATTGGGCTGCATCAGTAAGAGCATTGTCAGCCGATCGAGGAAAGTGATTATTCCCCTCTATTCGGCACTCATGAACCCACATCTGGAGTATTGCGTCCAGTTTTGGGCCCTCTACTACAGAAAGGATGTGGACAAATTGGAGAGAATCCAGCGGAGGGCAACGAAAATTATTAGGGGGTGGGGCACATGATTTACGAGGAGAGGCCAAGGGACCTGGGCTTATTTAGTCTGCAGAAGAGAGGAGTGAAGGGGGATTTGATAGCAGCCTTCAACTACCTCAGGGGGGGTTCCAAAGAAGATGGAGCTAGGCTGTTTTCAGTGGTGACAGATGACAGGACAAGAAGCAATGGTCTCAAGTAGTAGTGGGGGAGGTCTAGGTTGGATATTAGGAAAAACTATTTCACTAGGAGGGTGGTGAAGCACTGGGTTACTAAAGGAGATGGTGGAATCTCCATCCTTAGCGGTTTTTAAGGCCCAGTCTGACAAAGCCCTGGCTGGGATGATTTAGTTGGGGTTGGTCCCACTTTGAGCAGGGGGTTGGACTAGATGACCTCCTGAGGTCTCTTTCAACCTTAATCTTCTATGATTCTATGAACCAGGGACTCCAGAAATAACTAATGCGTTAACCCTTTGCCCTACCAATCTGCAGCTTTCTTTCATGTTTAATCTTCTATCAGTTTCACTACACACAAAAGCCTTGTGGAATGAGCCGTATCTCAGGAAAGCTGGTCATGTTGCCAGCAATTAATTTGTGTTCCTGATGATTCAACAGTACAAACCTACCTGGACAACTCTTGTTTTCTGCTGTTGGTTATCTGACATCCTTCTAGATCTTGTCCTTTCCACTTCATGCCTATGAACCCACCCTCGAAGTTCATGATTTAATCTGTAAAATGCAACATTAAATTAGGCATGTCTTTAAAAAAGGAGTCAAAAAGTCTTGGGTTTTGAGCAGCATTTTAACAATCCACTTGAAAATTATTGTGATTTAACATTAGGGTTTTTTTCATCTTAACATTTTATATTGTGTTCCTTTTAACACTGGGGCATGAATGTTAGTCACAAGTTCAAAGAGAATTCATAGCTAAATATCTGCCATGTGTTAATATTGGACTGGATTTTTCCACCTACAGTGGTTCCTATATATAATTAAACAACACAAATCCTGAAAGCAATGGGGGAATGTTAAGAATTTAAATCATAAGGCTACCAACTCAAGAATAAAATTCGGTGAATTCCTCAAAAAATAAATTTAACAGAGTAAAGGGGAAAAAAAGAAGAAAAGAAAAAATATGCAGTGATGAACTCATGTCTTTAGAAACCACACAATTCCAGTTCTTCCATCAAGGCAAAGAAAGTATTCACTACTTCAAATATATCTTTGTTTACTTTATGATGCTGAAGGGAAAAAGTCATGACCTGTGTATCTCTGTCTTTAACTGGCTTCTAAATCCATTTTATAATCATTTTTCCAACTACATAATTTGATTAATGAAAAAGCTTTGGACACTTGCACACAGGCAGATTTGTGATGGACTGGATGGCTCAGAGAATTGTTACGATATTTTATGATTGTTACTAGTCTCTAGCAGTGAGCGGGCTAGGCTGCTGGTTCCAAGTGAGCGAAGGCTGACAGTGAGTGAAAGTCATTACCCCACCCGACAGCATCAGAATGGAGGGTCCAGTACCTCCAGGGGAATTGGGAGTCTCTGATTATCTTACGACAGGGGGGAACTACTTTTCTTATATAACAGAGAAAAAAGAAAAATAGGTCTCCTAGAGTTCCCCATCCTGCAGAGAAATACACTGGACTTTCTGGGCAATTGGAAAAATTGCTCCTTCTTCCCATTGCTCCCTCTTCTCTTTGCCACCCCTCTCTCTTTACTCCCAATGGCTCTTCTTGCTCCACATGAATGCTTTCCCCACCTTTCCTACCCTAAACTCCACAGATAATCCCCTCTCCCTCCCGCACCAGGAATGTGTATGCGTGAAGGAGGGAGGGATAACTCAGTGGTTTGAGCACTGGCCTGCTAAACCCAGGGTTGTGAATCATAGAATCATAGAATATCAGGGTTGGAAGGGACCTCAGGAGATCATCTAGTCCAACCCTCTGCTCAAAGCAGGACCGAACCCCAATTAAATCATCACAGCCAGGGCTTTGTCAAGCCTGACCTTAAAAATATCTAAGGAAGGAGATTCCACCACCTCCCTAGGTAACGCATTCCAGTCTTTCACCATCCTCCTAGTGAAAAAGTTTTTCCTAATATCCAACCTAAATCTCCCTCACTGCAACTTGAGACCACTACTCCTTTTTCTGTCATCTGCTACCACTGACAACAGTCTAGAGCCATCCTCCTTGGAAGCCCCTTTCAGGTAGCTGAAAGCAGCTATCAAATCCCTCCTCATTCTTCTCTTCCGCAGACTAATCAATCCTAGTTCCCTCAGCCTCTCCTCATAACTCATGTGTTCCAGTCCCCTAATTAATTTTATTGCCCTCCGCTGGACATTTTCCAATTTTTCCATGTCCTTCTTGTAGTGTGGGGCCCAAAACTGGACACAGCACTCCAGATGAGGCCTCACCAGTGTCGAATAGAGGGGAACAATCATGTCCCTCGATCTGCTGGCAATGCCCCTACTTATACATTCCAAAATGCCATTGGCCTTCTTGGCAACAAGGGCACACTGTTGACTCAATCCTTGAGGGGGCCATTTAGGGATCTGGGACAAAAACTGGGGATTGATCCTGCTTTGAGCAGGGGGTTGGACTAGATGACCTCCTGAGGTCCCTTCCAACCCTGATATTCTATGATTCTATGAAGGCCAATAGTCTCCAGTGCTCAGTAGTCCATTCCCAGCTCCCTGCTGGCTGCTCCACTTTCCTAGCACATGGCTCCACATCCTCTCCATGCAGCTACCTCTCAGCTGTTCTCAATTCAATGGAGGATGAAACCTCAAGCCCAGTGCTCCTACTAAGAGTGGGGACTGCTGAATTGCCAGGAAGGAGAAGTAGCTGCTTTCTGTTGGAAACAATCCCAGGATTCTATTTCCCTAGATGGCTCTCTAAAACCCCAGGGAGCTGTTGGCAGGGGCCCCTGAGGAAAGTGTGTGTATGTAGCACTCTGGGATCTCTTGGGCAGTGTAGCAAGGTAGGATGGCAGTCACCCGAATGCTTCTACTAGTGCTGGCTGAGGTATTGGAGTCTTCTGCTAAATGCTATTGCTGCCAAGGGAGCCCTGACTGGAGGATTGCCCAGCTCCACCAATTGGCCCATCCATGCTATTTAAGCCAGAAGGTGGCACAGGAAATTTATTCGAGCCACAAGGTGTTCTCCTATTGTGGCTGCATTGGACCCTGCTGGTGCCTGCCCCCGCACCCAACCCTGTTCCTGATTCCTGCTATGCTCCTGCCTCGCCCCTGTTCCCACCATGCTCCTGCTCTGTGCCTCTCCTCCAGTTCCTGCCCTTACACCTCACCTTCAATCATCAGTGACCAGTCCTGGCTCTGACCCCAGCCTCTGACTTCTGACCCTGATTCCAGCTTGACCCTTGGCTCTGGCATTTTGTATCTGACCTTGGTTCTGACCCACAGCTTTCTTTCCTGGATCTGACTCTAGCTTAACTCCTGGCTCTGATAACTGGCAATTGACTCTGGTGCTGACCCCTTGGCTTGGTTCCCCTATCTGGATGCCAGTGCCGTCCACTAAACCTGACTCCTGCTCTGACCACTAGGTCAGACTGTCTACATCATGGTACAAAACAGTGCACTGGTTTAACTAAAGGTGAAAAGTTAAACCAAGTTAATTAAACCAGTGCAACATTGTGTGTGGCCACTCTAACATTGGTTTAAACGTGGCTTCTATTGGTTTGGCTTGCACTTATAAGTTACAGGTATCTGTAACCTGATATAGGTCAGGTTGGTGTAAATGGATATTAGAGTGTCCGCACACAAAGTTACACTGGTTTAACACACTAAGATCCATTTAAAGCAACCCAGTTTATACTGGGTTTCCCACATCTGTAACTTACAGATGCCAGCTAAACCAAAATTCAAACACACCTGTAGAACAGAGGGGAAGCTTGTGTTGCCACTGACCACAATGTATCTAGTACGGATATAAACAAAGAAATGCCAGGCACCCTACAGAGAATTCACACAATAATTACAAACTTGGAAATACACTTGGAAATCAGTTTGCTAACCTGAGAGACTCAGTCCGGTTGATCAGTGGCTGACACGGTGGTGGAGAAATATACAATAGTGGGTCTTCTGTTACTACCATTAAGGCTTTGTTATCAGAAACAGAATGTTCATACCTAGAAATAAAGACACCAAAAAATCCCTTCAAATTTCTTTCAAAGTTCCTTCAGCCTCCCCCAATGAACATGAATCACCAAGAGCCAATGAGAGAGCCAATGAACAGATTACTGTTGCTCCAACAGATTCTTCTTCTAGAAGAGATGACAATTTGTGCCTAGTAACCCAGTATTTTGCTCTCTCTTCCCTCAAGATTTTTGTAGAACCCAATGCAGAGAAACACAACAGCAGTATGGGAGCCAGAAACAAAATTTGCCTCTTAAGCCAAAAATCTTAGTGCTCACACAAACGAGCCAAAGAAGTTAGCAGTTTCATTGTAAATTTTATTTCGACTGTTAGTTCCATGGAGCAGGGACTGTTGTTTTTGTTCTGTGCCTAGGACAATGGGGTCATGGTCCATGACTAGGGTTCCGAACTGTTAAGTTGATACAAATAAAATGATAAAAGAAAAGGAGTACTTGTGGCACCTTAGAGACTAACCAATTTATTTGAGCATGAGCTTTCGTGAGCTACAGCTCACTTCATCGTTCAGATTAGATTTGCAGATGTCACTAATCACTTGTAATAAGTTCATCTCTAGATCAACAGTTCAAAACAAGCCTTCTGCCCACAGCAATTGTTTTGCTCCTACAGCACTGCGCTTGTACGTGGACTAGTGAACCTGGGTGAACCTTGACTCCAGTGTACAGGCTCCACGAGGTGACGCTCTGCATGGCTGGGGGAGAAAGAGCCCTAGCCATGAAGAAGTGGAAAATACTGAAGCAGGGGTTACCTAAATCTGCACCACAGGCCATTCTGGCCAATTGGCAGGAGCTCAAAGACATCATCTCATTTGCATGCATATTGTAACCATACTTTTAATTGATTTAAAGTTTTATAAAGTGACACAAATGTAAGGGACACGGACCAAACAGCAGCTCTACAGATTTCCTACCCAAAGACAGAGCCTCCTCTGGCCTGCTCTTTGCTCTGGTGAGATAGGACCTGCCAACTCATACTCTAGGCAGATACAAACCTGAAGCCACCTACCCACTGTAGTCTTGGAAGCCTCTTTCCTTTTTAGGGCCCTTGGAACACACCAACAGCTATGTGTCAGCTCTGAAACTTTTAAGGAGATACAGATTTAACCCAATAATTCTACAGTATCCAAAGCCTCTTCTGCCTCTGTGAAAAGTGCAGACTTAAAAAAATGGCAATACAATTGGCTGGTTAATATGAAACTTCAGGTTAACCTCAGGAACACAAGAATGGAGTGAATCAATAATCAAAGCTATTCTCATCAGTCTTCCTGGCAGAAGTGATGACAACCAAAGTAGTCGCTTTCATCCAAAATTGGCAGAGGGACATTTTCCCATCTGGTTCAGATGGCTGTAGCACGTACACCTGAAGACTAATACATTGCACCGCGGGAAGTGGGTTTGAAAGCTTCACACTGAACTGTTAGGAATCTAACCAATGGAGAGCGCAGGCCAGCCCCTGGCCGTGGAAGTAGCAGATGTATGGACTTCTTTGGTCTTAATCTTCCACTTTTAAAACCCTGAGGAACAAACTGTAGTAACCTGCAAAAAGAACAGGAGTACTTGTGGCACCTTAGAGACTAACAAATTTATTAGATCATAAGCTTTCGTGGGCTACGGCCCACTTCATCGGATGCATAGAATGGAACATATAGTAAGAAGATATATATATATATATACACATATATATATATATATACATATATATATACATACATACACATATATATATATATATACATATATATATACATACAGAGAAGGTGGAAGTTGCCATACAAACTGTAAGAGGCTAATAGCTCATCTTAATTAATTAACCTCTTACAGTTTGTATGACAACTTCCACCTTCTCTGTATGTATTGTGACGGGGCAAGGCCGCATGGCTATAGAAAAGTAGTGGGAGATAGATATATTAGCTCCAGGCTAAACAAATCCCTGGTACCAGGATAAGTGAAATGGCAGCCGCTCCAGGTCAATTAAGACACCTGGGGCCAATTAACAACTTTCCAGAAGGTAGGAAGAATGCTAGGTTGATTGGGACACCTGAAGCCAATCAGGGGGTGGCTGAAACTAGTTAAAAGCCTCCCAGTCAGTCGGGTGGGTGTGCACGTCAGGAGCTGTGGGAGGAAGTTGCACTGTTGGAGAGACTGAGCAGAACACACCATATCAGGCACAAGGAAGGAGGCCTTGAGGTAAGGGTGAAGTGGAGCTTGAGGAAGTGAGGGCTGCTGTGGGGGAAGTAGCCCAGGGAATTGGACATGTCATGTTTCTAAAAGGACAGCTACCATAGCTGATACTATTAGGGTCCCTGGGCTGGAGCCCAGAGTAGAGGGTGGGCCCGGGCTCCCCCCCTTGCCCTGATTAATCACTGAGACTGAGAGACAACAGAGACTGTGCAAGGAAGGATAACTTCTCCGCATCTCCCTCGCTGGCTTAGGATGAAAATGGCTCAGTAGACTATGACCCTTGTCTCTAGAGAGAGAAGGGTTACGTGGAGGGTCACAGTGAGCCTCTGAGGCTAGCGAAATCCACCAGGAAACATGGGACCCATGGAGGCAAGGGCAGAGCTTTGTCACAGTATATATATATATCTTCTTACTATATATTCCATTCTATGCATCCGATGAAGTAGGCTGTAGCCCACGAAAGCTTATGGTCTAATAAATTTGTTAGTCTCTAAGGTGCCACAAGTACTCCTGTTCTTTCTGTGGATACAGACTAACACGGCTGCTACTCTAAACCTGTAATAACCTGGTGGGTGGTGCAATCATCACAGGAGAAGCTGTTAGTTAAACACCACACCAGCTTCATTTCTATGTCCTGGTTTAGGAATCCTTGTAACACTTTGACAATCGCCCAGCATCTGGTACATACCCCATCCCAGAAGCCACTGGTATGCATTCACTCTCCAACTTTCTGGATGCACAAAGTGAGCTGGCTCTTGGAGGAGAAAATTGGTTCTTCTCACTGATACATTCTAACAGTACCCAACTGCCTGGCCACCAAGGCAGAGAAAAATTACTTCCACTTTGACTGGTTTGATCTTGCAGAGGATTTGGAGAATCAGAAGAAAAGATGGAAAGATGCAGCCATCTCTGCACCCCAATTAATCAAAACAGAATCTGACACCATGGTCAACTGGTCAAACAGCTGAGAGCAAAACCTGGATAGACTTGCAGCATTTTTGCTGGCAAACTAGTGGTCAGCCGGACAGCCTCAATATTGACAAATGGACTGGAAAGCTTCCAAGTTCAAGCTCCATTCCCCTGGGATCAGTTCCTTCTTGATTTGTAGATTCCAAGGCCAGAAGGGATCATTGTGATCATCTAGTCTGACCCCCTGTACAATACAGGCTATAAGATTTCCCCAAAACAATTCCCAGACCAAATCTTTTAGACCAGTGTTTCCCAAACTTGGGACGCCGCTTGTTCAGGGAAAACCCCTGGTGGGCCGGGCCGGTTTGTTTACCTGCCGCGTCCGCAGGTTCGGCCGATCACGGCTCCCACTGGCCACGGTTCGCTGCTGCAGGCCAATGGGGGCTGCGGGAAGTGGCGGCCAGTACGTCCCTCAGCCCGCGCCGTTTCCTGCAGCCCCCATTGGCCTGCAGCAGCGAACCGCGGCCAGTGGGAGCCGCGATCAGCCTAACCTGCTGACGCGGCAGGTAAACAAACCAGCCCAGCCCATCAGGGGCTTTCTCTGAACAAGCAGCATCCCAAGTTTGGGAAACACTGTCCTAGACAAACATCCAATCTTGAATTAAAAATCATAAGTGATGGAGACTCCACCATGACCCTTGGTAAATTGTTCCAGTGGTTAATTATCCTGACTGTTAAAAAATGTATGCCTTGATGAGCCAATCCACCAGGACATTGTGTTCATCCTAGAAATAAAGCCACAGTAGTTTCCTCCCACTGAAAAAGGCTCAGTTTAACAGTAAGATGGAGCTCCCAGTGCCCTGCTGATGTAGGACAATCCTGTATGCTTGCTGCACCATTCTAGAACAGGAAATCCCCTGAGCAGCATTTCCCAAGCTGAGGTGGCTAGAAGCATCCTTCACAGTAACAGCAGATTGCATTTCCACCCCAGGATGGACAGAGTTCTGACTGTATGGGCTTCTGCCTGATCAGGTATGGAGGTGAAGGCAATTACTCCCCAAGGGTCCACTTTGGATACAGCTGGTCCTTCTCCAAGAAAGGAGCCACCCTACGTGCTCGTCCTTCAATTTATATTTTTTGTGAGGGGAGCTAAGGTGGGCAGTAGGGGGGCAAGCCAAAAGAGCAAGACAACACTGCCAGCTGCTTGCGGGGAGGGGATCCAGAATTGAGGGCAGCTGGAGAGGCCAACAGAGCCAGCAGGGACTAAAAGTGGCAGAACAGGCAGCAAAGAGCTGCCTATATGTCCATGGTAAGGGGTTGTTCTGGCAGCAGCCACACGATAGCACTCAGAATTGCCTTTCTGACTTCTCACAGACATAGGCATAGCCATTTTGCAGCCTGAGAGGGCCTGGGAGAGAGGTTGCAGCTGAGCCTGCTACACAGTAGCTGCTAGTAGATCAACAGCTCTCCCAAATGGGAGAAGTCTGGGGAAAGAAGAGCCTGAGGCACAGAGGCTCACAGGGCAGCAGGGACTTGGAGAAAGACAGAAGAGAAATCCCAATCTCAATCCCAGCTGGGATCTCAGCCATAACAGTGAGGAGAGGAAGGAACTAGCCCTCCCTTTCCCAGAGTCCCTAAAGAACCACAGGGACTCCCCTTGTTCCAGTTTTGAGAGGGGAAGGCATATGAAAAGCCAGACCATCTCTTTCATATGTGGAGTAGCAGAGGAAAAGTTTGTCCGTGAAGGAGACCTTGCCTGAGAAGCTGCTGGCAGTCTGGGAAATCCTTGGGCCTGCCCAGAGGAGAATTGGGGAGGAGGCCAGAAGCAAGGCAGAAGTCTTGGCTTGGCTCTTAAATTCAGGCAGTTAGCTCCAGGTTCTTTATGATAATCCTTGGGTAAAAAATGTTAAAGCACTTAAATGACTTAGGAGCTGAAGTCCCAGAGACTTTCAGTGAGACTCAGGCACTTAAATGCCCAAATTCCTTTTGAAAATTATACTCATTTTTTTTTCCTTTATCCTTCTTTCCACCTTCCTGCCTTGTCCCTCTTCTGGTCTCTGCTTCTAGCACAGCTAGAGAGGAGAAAAAGAAGCACTTACCAAGCAACAAGGTGAAAGAGACTGGAGGGAAAGAGGAGGTGTTGGCTCTGACATACCTTCCTGAGTGAGCATCTCTGCTACCTCATCACATAATTCATAGTTTAAAATGTGCCACACATAGGACACAGGCCCTTCATCATAGCCACATATACTAAGTCATTAGAGTATTCCTGATTGATTGCCTTCTTTCCACATGGCAAAAATCTATTAGTGCTTTCAGCACATTTGCGGCTGTCTCTATTCAGCTAGCCAAAAAATATTTTATTGGAAAAGACAGATCTGATAGGACAAACTCTGTGAAGGGGAAAAACACAGTTTGAATAAGCCAACCTTCAATCTGGACACAATCCAGAACATACGCATCCACTGCCTGCTGGAGATCTAGAAAGGCTTAAAGTGACTTTATGTCAATTGAATACACCCCTGTAAATGACGAATAAAGATATTAATGGATAAAATAAAAATTATTCTTTGGGAATACTTGGTAGGCAGCCTCTGGAGCCGACTGTAACCATACACTCGTGAGGTGCATTTCTGTAGATCTCCAGGAATAATGGCTTACACAAGCATCCATGAGGTTTCTAACAAAGCAGACTGCTCACAGAGTTTAGGATCCAGTCCTTTCCTCTGTAAGTATCTTGAACTTTGCTGAACACATTTTGAGTGATTAAGAAAACAAATATCATAGCTTGAATTTTAAGAAAGGCTGAGTAACATGACAAATATTAACATTCATAGCCCATTCATAGGTGCGTGCATCCCAGGTTAAGAACCACTGCTTTAGAGGAACTTTGCTACAAACTGAAGTTCTAAACAAAGGACTGAATGACCCATCCAAGCTGTGAATGTACTCCAGATATTTGATTTGAACCTGCAGTGTATTCCATCACTGGTACAAGCCTGAACCAAGAACCTTGCCATTACTGTATATATTTGATTCCATTTAAACAATTTTAACTCTCATCTATATTTCTTTCTTTTTACGAATAAACTTTTAGATTCTAAAGGATTGGCAACAGCATGATTTGTGGGTAAGATCTGATTTGTATATTGACCTGGGTCTGGGGCTTGGTCCTTTGGGATCGGGAGAACCCTTTTTCTTTTACTTGGTATTGGTTTTCATACCCATTCATCCCCATAAAAAGTAGCTGCTGGTGGTGATACTGGGAAACTGGAGTGTCTAAGGGAATTGCTTGTATAACTTCTGGATAGACAGTGGGGTAAAACCGAAGTCTTCTCTGTTTGGCTGGTTTGGTGTGCCTTGGACTGTAACTGCCCTGCCCTAAGCAATTCGTCCTGAATTAATACTCTCAGTTGTGTCCCGCCAGAGGCCGTATTGTTATACCTGTGCTGATGCAAGTCTATGATAGTAACATTCGGCTCTGTAGGAGGTGCACAACCGCCCACAGTGCTGCCTGGAGGTCAGGCAGGATTGACAGATCAGCATCCTGCCCCAAGGGTTACCTGTCGTCTCCTTCAGCCCAGGTAATTTGAGGGCTAGGCTCTTGGCCAGTCAAGCTCTATTCCAGTGCGACTCTCACCTTTGGTGAAGGCCCCTGTTGTTGTAATGTCCTCTGGGGGTTGAGAGGGGAGCCCAGGCCTACGCTCTACATTGGGCTATGCTCCAGGGCCTAGTGGTGGGCAGCTACCTTCGACACCTTGGGGTGCTAAGATTCTGCCCCCCACCCCCTGGGCCACCTCTCTATCCCCGTTAGCTTCATGAAGTGAGTCAGTTCCACCAAGCCTCTTGCCTGCATGCTCAGCCACTTAACTCTCCTTTGTACATTTCCACTGGTCTGTGTGGTCAGACCTCAAGCAAGGAGCTCCAGGACACTGCTCTCCTTTCACAGCCGCTGCCTGCGCCCTTCCACTGCCTGCCTGCTCTGAGCTGCTCTGTTCCCCTTCTTAAAGCCCTGCCTCCAGCTTGTGCAGGCCCTGCAAGTGCGACTGGGTGGGGCCACCTGGGCCCAGAGCTCCTCCTTAACCCCTTGCTCTGCAGTGTGGGTGTTGTACACCCCATCAGAGCCCCACACATGGAAAGCTGGCAGCAACTTCTTGCCTACTATGCTGGAAGAGACAGGGAGCTGCTCTTTGAGTTGTATGCAAGTGCAGTGTCAGGGACTGTCGCAGGACTTGCTCAGCACCAGAATGAGGCCAGGCATGGCCTGATGGAACTGCACATCAAAAGCAAGACACCATACCTGCTTGCTTCTGCTTTGCTGAGGCAAGAGTGCTCACACAGCTTGCTCTCTCACCATGGAATGCATGCACTGGTTTGTCTGATTCAGGGGTTGGTTAGTTTTTATATTTCAGTGCATCAAGGTTGGGCCTTAAAGAGGAATCTTGTCAGGAAGATCCTGTAACTACAGTACAAGAGGAATCAGCTTTCATGGCACTCAATTTTTAGGCTTAGCTGCCCTAACAATGCTCACTTAATAACTATGCTTCATGATGCACAGGGAAATGGAAGGCAACAGAGCAAAGCATAAAAGCATTATGGACAGCGAGTACTTTTAAATTTTAAATATATTCACCTCACCTCTCCTTATTCTGGGAGATGATGTTAGGCATTTGTTGAGCAGTGTTGAGCTTCTGGCTGGCTGAGAACTCCAGCAGATTTCTGCTGCGGTGGGCAAGGCTCCCGCTGGGTTCAGCTCCATTGGGATCCCTTTCAAATACACTGAAATTCAAAAATACATACCCATAACTATAACAAGAGGAACAGAACAGATATATACGATGTGGAACTCACTGCCATATGGTACTAAATACTCTAACTGGATAACTAATGGCTTTTCATATTTGTTGTCCCACATGGTAAGATATGTATCACCAAATCCCATGCCCATGGGCAGAAATTGTTCACTTATATATTTAATTGCCATCGCTTCACAGTAGCACTAAAGGAAGAATGGAAGATGGAAGCCTTCACGGGGCCCACTCTGTTAAGTGAGAATTCACAATGAATGCCATCAACTCAGCGACCGAACATCACTCAATGATCTCCTGGTCATCAGAACAGCAACTCAACAAATCCTAAAGTTCCTCCTCAGGGCCATACAACGTGCCAAATAGGCCCTGGAATAAGAATCCTGCAACTTAATGTTGAAGGACTTTCATGGTCAAAATGTGAGTACCTTGGAAACTTGCTGAAGACTTACAACATCAATATCCTCATGTTGCAAGAGACCTATGTTGGCAACGAACAACAGGCTAGGCGATACCGTATCTATGGATACAACCTAACAATTAGCCATTATCATTCTAAATATGGCTTGGCAATATACATAAAGGACACTAACACAGATTTTAATATTATTCCATCAACCAAATAGGAGACCACATTTACCACAGCTGTCAAAGTAGGGGAGCTCCACATTACCAAACTCTATAAAGCCCCTAGAACAAGATGGCCAAAACCAGCGCTACCTAGCACTCCTCCTATTCCATGCATCTATGCAGGTAATTTTAATAGTCACTGTTAGGGGGCTTATTCCTTCACCCGCTTACTTCCCTGGTCCTTCTCGCATGAACAGAGAGCAACAATACCCGAAGTCCAAAGATGCAAACAATTCAATGTTTATTGGGATGAACTTCCAGCAAGCGTGTTTAATGATTAATTTGCCCTGGCATTCGCGGCCAGTACAGCTACTGGAAAAGTCTGTTAACGTGTCTGGGGATGGAGCGGAAATCCTCCAGGGACATCCCCATAAAGCTCTCCTGGATGTACTCCCAAAGCCTTTGCAAAAGGTTTCTGGGGAGGGCAGTCTTATTCCGCCCTCCATGGTAGGACACTTTACCACGGCAGGCCAGTAGCACGAAGTCGGGAATCATTGCGGAAAAAAGCATTGCAGCTTATGGTCCTGTTCTTTATCTTTCTGTGTTACCCTCAGGAGAGTGATATCATTCATGGTCACTTCGTTGAAATAGGGTGGTTTTAGTAAACGGACATTCAGAGTTGCCCGTTCCTGCTGGGCTGTTTGCCTGTGGCTGCACAGAAATCTTCCCCGCTTTTAGCCACGTGGTGGGGGGAGGGGTGAAGCCATCATCCCAGAGAATTGGGTGTGTGTGTGTGTATGGAGGGGGGGGGGTGTTATTTGGGTTTCTGCTGCACATGAACCTGGAAAAAGCAGCCCCTCCTTTTAAATTGCCAATCCATTTTTAATGGGCAACCCAACAGCTACTTCGTATGGGAAATGAGGGTGTTGCTGTTTGAAGCCATTCCCACATGTTATGAAGGTTAAAGAGCCAAAAGACAGTGGCTTACCATGGCTGCCTGCAAGCCAAATTCTGCTGCCCGGCCCTGCGTGAGTAATCTCTCACACCAAACCGGCATACCCCCAATGACAGGCAAAATGTGACCTTGAAATAAAAGCACATGTGCTATGTAATGTTAACAGCAAGGTTTACCGTGAAAGAGTGTACCCATTGTTCTATAAAATGTGTCTTTTTAACTTCCACTCTCCCTTTCTTTTCCCTCCAACAGCTGGATATGCTTCTCCTTCCCAGAGGCTAGCGAAGATTAGAAGGCAAAAAAACCGCACTTGTGATGAAACAAATCAGCACCTGACACCAGAACTAAAGCATTACTGCAGCCGATAGCACCTGGCCTCCAACTGGATCCTCCAGGAAGAGAGGCTGTAAATCAGTGGAAGACTGGACATCAATGCTACAGACTTGCTTGCAGACAGGTCACTGTTGTATTTATAAGTACTCCACAGGATTGAGAAACAATTAAAGTGTTCCAGTCCAGCTTCTATGAGATCTTCTAATTTACTATCAAAGGGGCCAGAGTAACTGGGAACAGAGTACATATTAAAATACCCCCCCAATACACCCTTTTCATAATAAAATACGGCAGCACTCTGCATTCCTTTCATAAGAGGATGCGAAAACATTTTACTAAAAGACCTGAGAGGCAGTTATTGTACAAAACAATGTGTGTAAACTCCATAACCTGGAAATATTTGGTAGACACTATCAGCTCTCACACAAGTTTGGAGGGACACAGGAAAGAACCCCCTCACGTGCCATAGGAGCTCCGCACTGCAGAATCATGCTCCCCATCTCTAGTAGTCCCAAGGTCCAAAGCTGTAGGGGAAGCAAGCAAGATGGCTGAAGCTGGAGGCTATAAAAGCTAACGCTGGTTCAGCTAATTTCATAGCACAGTTAGTTTAAAACTCTAATGAAAATTAAGGCAGTGAATGTGTGTGTAGCTAAGTGAAGCATCCATGTGCAGCACACTGTTTTCTTACCTTTATGCTTCCCCAAAACAATAAAACTATAACTCAGTCAAATCCAAACCAATTTCTTCTAGAATAAGGGTGTGAATGGAATGAGTTTATAACAAATGCAGACATTTGTAAGAGAGTTCAACAACTTCATATCTCTAAAGTGACTCAGAAAAGAAGACAGAAATATCTGGGACAGGTGTTAAGAATTAAGTCAGGGCATCTGCTATGGCAGTTGTGCCACTGGGCAGCCAGAGGAACATGCGAAAAGGGCTGACCAAGAGAATGCCTCTGTCAAAACAGACTGACCAAAGAAGATATGCAGAGAGCATCCTGGGATAGGCGAAGATGGTGAAAGTCTTGTTTCATGCACTATGCAACTTTTGACAGTTCAGGAAGGATTCAGATTCAGATTCAGAAGGGTGTGCAGTGCTCCACAATGAGGCTATTTCCAGGCCAGTTTCAATTTTCATATGTCAGTTGTTTTGGCTCTCCAGCAGCTTTAAAAACAGTTAACAATTGCTTTAATAAAGGAAATATGTCTCTCTTTATTCTCCTCTCACTAAATCTTTTCACTGAAACTTTTATAATAGAACCATAAAATGTAGGATTGGAAGGGACCTCAATAGGTCATCTAATCCAGTCCCATGCACTGATGCAGGACTAAGTATTATCTAAAACATCCCTTACAGGTGTTTGACTAACCTGTTCTTAAAAGCCTCCAATGATAGAGATTGCACAGCCTCCCTAGGTAATTTATTCCAGTGCTTAACTACCCGACAGTTAGGAAGTTTTTCCTAATGTATAACCTAAATCTGCTTTACTACTTATCTTGTCCTCAGTGGTTAAGGAGAACAATGTATCACCCTCTTCATTATAACAATCTTTTACGTACTTGAAAACTGTTATGCGCCTCTCTGTCTTCTCTTTTCCAAACTAAACAAACCCAGTTTTTTCAATCTTTCCTCATAGGTCATGTTTTTTACACCTTTAATCATTTTTGTTGCTCTCCTCTGGACTTTCTCCCATTTGTCCACATCTTCTCCCAAGTGAGGGACCCAGAACTGCACACAGTACTTCAGTCGAGGCCTTATCAGCGCTGAGTACAGTGGAAGAATTACATCTTGTATCTTGTTTACAACACTCCTGCTAATACACCACAGAATGAAGTTCCCTTTTTTCTAACAGTATTACATCGTTGACTCATATTTCATTTGTGATCCACTATAAAGCCCAGATCCTTTTCTGCAGTTCTCCTTCCTAGGCAAAAAGAAAAGAAGTACTTGTGGCACCTTAGAGACTAACCAATTTATTTGAGCATAAGCTTTTGTGAGCTACAGCTCACTTCATCGGATGCGATGAAGTGAGCTGTAGCTCACAAAAGCTTATGCTCAAATAAATTGGTTAGTCTCTAAGGTGCCACAAGTACTCCTTTTCTTTTTGCGAATACAGACTAACACGGCTGTTACTCTGAAACCTTCCTAGGCAGTTATTTCCCATTTTGTATTTGCGCAACGGATTATTCCTTCCCAAGTGGAGTTCTTTGCATTTGTCTTAATTGAATTTAATCCTATTTAAGTCAGACCACTTCTCCAGTTTATCAAGATCATTCTGAATTCTAATCCTGCCCTCTAAAGAGCATGAAACCCCTCCCAGTTTGGTATCAACTGGAATTAATTGATAAACTTAACAGTAACAAGTCACCGGGACCAGATGACATTCACCCAAGAGTTCTGAAAGAACTCAAATGTGAAATTGCGGAACTATTAATTATGATTTGTAACCTGTCCTTTAAATCAGCTTCTGTACCCAACGACTGAAAGATAGATAATGTAATGCCAATATTTAAAAAGGGTTCTAGACGTGATCCTGGCAATTGCAGACCAGTAAGTCTAACATCAGTACCAGGCAAATTAATTTAAACAATAGTAAAGAATAAAATTGTCAGACACATAGAAGAACATAAATTGTTGCACAAAAGTCAGCATGGCTTCTGTAAAGGGAGATCATGTCTTACTAATCTATTAGAGTTCTTTGAGGGGGTCAACAAACATGTGAATAAGGGGGTTCAAGTGGACATAGTGTACTCAGATTTCCAGAAAGCCTTGGACAAGCTCCCTCATCAATGGCTCTTACTTAAATTAAGTTGTCATGGGATAAGAGGGAAGATCCTTTCATGGATTGAGAACTGGTTAAAAGACAGGGAACGAAGGGTAGGAATAAAAGGCAAATTTTCAGAATGGAGAGGGGTAACTAGTGGTGTGCCCCAGGGGTCAGTCCTAGAACCAATCCTATTCAACTTATTCACAAATGATCTGGAGAAAGGGGTAAACAGTGAGGTGGCAAAGTTTGCAATGATACTAACCTGCTCAAAATAGTTAAGATCAAAGCAGACTGTGAAGAACTTCACAAAGATCTCACAAAACTAAGTGATCGGGCAACAAAATGG